ATTGCAGGTCTGCACAGAATTGACTAAATAGTGTCCGGTCCCAGCAAGGAACAAGGCTTAGTGTAAAACCAGTCATGGATTCCCAGGCAGACACTTCTCTTTTTAAGGTTCCCCAAATCCTAGTCCACAGCAAAAATGGCTGGTTTTCCCTCTGGCTGTTAGCATGATGACTGCTGGCACTCAGTCTGTGTGATGAGTGTGTTAGAACACTCAAGTTGCATAGGTAGGATGCTGGAAAATGGATAGATAAACAGACATTCAGACTGTAGCTCTGGTGAACTGGCACAAGTCTAGCTGTTTCTTCCCCTTTAAGACTGTCATGAAAATTTGCAACTGGCCCGTGCCAACTGAGGAGAGAGGTTAGGATGCAAAGCATAGAATTACAATGGGCAAATGTTAATTCACGTGCATGAGGTGTCCCAGCCAAACTGGGGCAACCCGAATGTGGTTTTACACACAATTCTTATACCCTTAAAATATTCAGGTAATACATGATTGACTAATCACTTACACCCACAGTACTGATTATTAATAACAGTAAATCTCTGCAAAGCACCTGCATTTTTGCAGAATTCTTTCTGCTTATCTGTTGATCCAGACATCCCTGGATTCAGTCTTGCCGTAATTACTTGCTCTGATGCCAGAAGATGCTGGCAAGATGTGGTCTAAGATGCTGCTGTTATCTTGGTTGTCAAAGTCCATATTTCCAGGACTAGGTTACCCTTTAGTTTCTTTTACTTAAGTAGGAACAATACTAACTTCGGTAAAATTTCACAGCTTTGTGACAATACAGTGTACAATATGAAATAATATTATGTTAACAAAATTAATACACTGTTACACTATAAAGATTGCTTGATATAATAGTCAAGGAAGATAATTTTCATAACAACTGATACACATAATGAAAATAATAATTAAAAATACAGGTGGGTGAATAGTCAGCTAATGTAGATTGTGGTTTTTCTCCTCTCTGGAATTTATTTCCATTAAAGCTCATAAGCAAAGCCCTAAGCAGAAGTGAATGACAAAGAAGGAACAAAGCAGAGAATAAGCCTGGTCTGTAAGCAGAAGAACACTGCTTGTTTCAAGGGAGAACTGAGACTCAGAAGCCTTCTTGGTGGTAAAAAAAAATCTCATTACTTGTGATAAAGATTTAAAAAAATAATTAAAAAGCATGACTGTATACTGATGGTTGCCAAGAGCCAGTGTGGAAACTGTAAAAGTGCAGGGTCTGGTCTTTCACATTCCATCTTGAGCTGCCCCTCAGTCCTTTGCACTTCTGTGCTTCCCCAAATTATCTTCAGTTATCTCTTATGAATTTTGTGTAGGCTTCTTCTCTTTCTGTGCCAGGCTTTCTTAGGGAGAAAATACCTTTGTACTTCACCAAACACAGCAACAAACAAAACAACAAGGCTTTGGATATAGGGTATCCAGAAAGATATTACAAGGTTTTAGTTTACTGAGCTGTATGATTATTTTCCAGAAATCTGTGAAGGAAAATGTGCTATTTCAGACAGTTGCAGTGATAAATTTGCTCTTGAAAAAATCTTCTTGAAGATTTTATCCACTGAATAGTTCTGCTTCAGAACTGCTTGTCAAACGTTCTCTCATGTATAAATAGTACCCTCTTTATTTATTCTTTACTCTGCCTGCTATTCTATTTGCTGTTCCCAGCTCCTCCCTTTCTTCTTCACATCTCTTTCTTTCCTTGTGTGTCTTTTATAGTTGCACTGTGTGTATCTTGCTTTCCCTACCTCTGTCTCCCACCTCTCTTACTCTTACCCTCCTTCTTCTCTCCTTTTTCTTTGAAACTCTATTCCCCTTGTCTTAGCCTCACCCCTCCCTTTTATCCTCCTCAGCTATTCTCTCATGGGTGGTTTTCTTCTCTTTGGTTTGTGTGGTCTGCCCTGCACATTCCAATTCTTTTCTCTTCAAGACCTAACACGTTTCACACAGTGAGGAGAGTATTTGATAAATGAATTATGCTTTGCTGCTCTGACCATTGTTTTAATAACTGCAACTTTAAATACTATGAGATCTGTTTGTGTGTCTGGACATTTGAAACTCACTATTGTGTGGAATCATGTCTATAAAATGAATGTCTGTCTGTGTAATTTGGAGTACATGATTGCCTTTATCAGTGTCTGCAAACTTTCTTGATCACATATCCCTCTTGGTAAAAGGCTTTAGCATACACCCCCATTATACATATATTTACTTATTTATAAATTTTGTACTACTGAAGTTCTGTTGCTTTCCTCCTGCACACCAATGTGTTGCCTTGCATACCCCTTGGGGTGCATGCAGCCCTCTTTGGAGATCACAGCTCTCTATCATGCCAGCTACACTGTTGCATGAAATATGCTGGTTTTGTCACAATTAAGATTCTCCTGAGAATCTGATCCGTGCGTGGTGGTTGGGATTGAGAGCTTTTTCTTCTCTGTTTCTGTCATGTCGGCTGTGGTTGTTTATATATTGAGAGGGCTGAGGTTTTCTGGTAGGGCGCATTAGTTTGCCTAGCAAAGAGAAGATTTCAGAAACTGGAAATTTTTTTTAAACATGCACATTCTCCAGCATTGCAAAATGCTGCAACACTGGACAAAAAACATTTAAATGCTGATGTAAAAATAAATCCTTTGTAAAAGACTGAGTGCCAGCTATCCTTTCACCAGGTGAAGTTTTGAAGAGGGTTTGGATGTTGCATGTGCACGCGTGCACAGGAACTTTTCTCAGACTTCCCCATTCACTGTAGCAGTTCACTCATGCTTGGCTTTCATTCCACAAGAAGGAGGAGGAGGAGGTTTTGGGGGGAATATTCCGTTACCATAAAGGGGAGGAAGTGTTTCTGCAGCTATTGAACAAAGCAGCTAGTTAACCTCTTTCCCGACCCCGGTGCAATGGTACAGTCCCACTGCTCCTTTCTAGGGGCCAGATGCTCCTCATAGTAGTAAAACAAGGAAGAAAGGAAAACATATGTGCAAAAATTTGCTACCCAGGTAGTAAGGACCAGATTCCAGGACGAGCTGAATACCTGCAATTTCTCCTGAAGTAAATTTCTTTTAGAATCAGATGGGGGGAGGGAGAGGGAGGGAAGTTGGAAGGAAAGAGGTCTGTTGTAATTGGTGTCTAGAAACCCCCACAGAGAGGATTAAGAAAGAAACTATGCTGTCTGGGAAGAAGTAGGTATTTGTGTTACTCTGCATATATACAGAACTGCTAGAAAAGGCTGTGCTCTGTGGAAACCAGCCCTAGCTTTTTGAACACTGAGATGTGTCACTGTCTGCTGATGGTACTTCTTTTAAGCAGAACTTTATTGAATGTGCTTTTTCCTTTTGTATGTGTACCAGTGTCTTACGTCAAAGGGAATCGCGGTCACTTTCTATTTGTGTTGTGAAGCTCATACTTCAAACCAAAGGGAGTTACTTTGGGAACAGAAGCCCAAAATTCTGCTCTGTGTTATCACAGAAGCATTTATGAATTGTAAGGCACTGGGTTTTGATATCTTTTCTGTCCAGTCCTAATCCATGCTGTGTTTAGTTCACTGCACCCTCCCTCATTTTCTGCCACTCGGCTGTGTAACTTACTGGATGGTAGGAACAAGCAGAGGGTAATGTTGTGTCCCTCATCCGCTGGCATTTCTCTGTTTGCAGCCCAGTGACATTTCCACAATGAATAGGTAGACTCTTGTTCTCATACTAGCAAGAAGCAGGAGACATCCAGAAAGATTCTTCAAGAAAGATACTTTCAGTCCTTTCTTTCCACATTGGAAGGTGAGGTTCTCTTTTGGAAAAACTAAGAAACCCTCTTTGATTCACCCACATGATTGAAGTTTGTCAGTACCTAGAATCAAGGAAGCACCTTGCTTCTGTGACATTTCACAGAATCACAGTGTGGGTCAGGTTGGAAGGGATCACAGGAGGGATCATCTGCTCCAACCTTCCTGCTCAAACAGGATCATCCCAGAGCACGTGGCACAGGATTGTGTCCAGATGGTTCTGGAATATCTCCAGTGAGGGAGTCTCCATAACCTGTCTGGGATATCCATCCCAGCGCTCAGTCACCTGCACAGTGAAGAATTCTTCCTCATACTCAGGTGGAACTTCCTGTTCATCAGTTTCTGCCCACTGCCCCGTGTCCTAGTGCATGGCACCACACAGAAGAGCCTGGATCCACCCTCAACACCCTCCCTGCAGACACTCAGAGACATTGATGAGCCCCGTCTCAGACATCTCATCTAAAGGCTAAACAGGCCCAGCTCTCTCCAGCCTGTTAATAAATCTTTGTAGCCCTCCACTGGACCCGCTCCTGGAACTCTGTGTCTCTCTTGGACTGAGGAGCCCGGAACTGGACACAGCACTCCAGAGGAGCCTCTTCAAGGCTCAGCAGAGAGGAAGCATCGGAGAGTAAGCACAGATGCATGAACTTGAGCCTGGGTTATACAGACCAACAGGAGATGGCACACAGTAACAGGGATTTCAACAATGTCAAGAGAGACTGACCAAGGATCAGACTTGTGCAGCCACACTGTCCTTCCTGACCTGGACCTGGCAGGGGTAGGGGCTGGGCCAGGGGCTCGGCCAGAGGTTGGGGCACAGCTGCGGCCGCGCTCGGGATCCGCGGAGAGCAGGCGGTGAGGGAAGACTCTTTCGGAAAATCCCCCTCTGGAAGAGGCTGCCTGGGGGAAGCGGGAGGGGTTCGGTAGCACAGCCTGGGATCGCGAAGGGAAGCCGGTGCCGCCCAGTGACCCGCCCAGCGGAGCGGCTCCGAGGGGAGGCTGCCGGCGGCCGGGGGAGCCGGCGGGGCGTGCGGCACACAGGATGGCGATGGGCGCGGAAGTGACAGGAGTGGCTGCAGCCGCCTCGGAGTGCGGGATCTCGCAGCGCCCCCACCCCCATTTGCCGTCGCTGGGCTTCTGCGAAGGAAAGCAGGTCGGGGGGGCGGAGAGAGAATGGAGGAGGGGCACGGCGAGGAAGGGAGGGAGGGAAGGGGGAGAGAAAGCGAGAGAGCGAGAGGAGCCCGGAGAAAGGGATAAGGCAGATCCTGGGAAGCGAGAGAAAGAGAGACTCCTGCAGGAGGGGGACCTGGGCGGGGAGAGGACATTGCCGGTGAAGGGCCTGGAGGGGAGCGCAAAGATCGGGACTGCTCACAAGCATCCGACTTGTTGAAAGACGTCGAGCGAGGCCAGAGACTGTGCCCGGGGCCGGGGGACAAAGCGGCGTTGGGCGCGGAGCGAGAGGGAGCTGGCGCTGGCCCGCCGGGATGGTGCAACTCGAGCGGTGAAAATGGTCTTTGTCCAACTTTTCTGATGCCGGGAGGCCGGGCGGCACGGCTCTAGCGGGAAAGGCTCCTGCGAACACTCCTCGAGTAATGCTGGGAAGTGGAGGGGGTGTTGCTGGAGTCCTGCACAAGGTACCGTGGCGGGCGGGCATTGTGAGTCCGGCCGGAGCGCACGGAGCGAGCGGGACGTGGTGGGGGTACCCGCGGGTCTCTGCCGTCCGGGGGAGGGGGCACAGAACAAACGGGGACTACTTCGAAAGGGGTTAAAACTCCTCAGGCGATGTTCTTTTTGCTCCTTTCCCGGTGTGTGCTGTTCAAAGGCGGCGTTACCGGGACCCTCCCCCGAGCGCACGCCTGCTGTCAGGTGCCGGCCGTGGGCAGGGGGAGGACAGATGTGGGGAATCGGGTCACGGCCTCTCCGCTCACGGAGACTGCCATCATCCCCAGTGCCCTTCCACACGGCCGTGGTGCCTTTGGTCTGCTCCCACGAGCCTTGTTTCCCCTCTCTCCAGCCCTGGAGAACCGTAAGGAAATGCTGCCTTTGAAGTCTCTGAAGTGGGGCTTGATGGATGCTGATGTGGGTTCGCGATCCTCGTGGAACGACACAGGGGAGGCTGTGTGGCCTTGTCTATGGGTAGGGTTGCTCAGCGCTCTTGTGGGGGACAGATGGCTGTATGAGTGCTTGTGGCAGAGAAAAGCCATGTTAGGCTATTTTTCAAGGAGATGATGCAAGTTACTACTACTCAAACTAAATAAATCTGTGAATGTGGGAGGGGCTGTTGTGATGGGTAATTTTAATTTTGCCTTTTGTGGGATCCACTAAGATGATTTCACTTACTCTGGAGTTTCTCTTGCTATTACCACACTCATTCGGTTGGGAAGGAGTGTGAGTATCACTTGCCTTTCCTACAACTTCCAGAAATCGGAGAGTGAAGATGGGGAAGCAAATCTCCTCCCAAGGGGCATCCTTCACTAGCAGTGATACCAAGTCATGCAGATTCATGACGAAGGAGAGCGAGGGGGCAAATGGAAACAACAAAGGAGAATTAGCTGCCACCAGACACGTCTGTTAGAGACACAAATCTGTAGCCTCAGCTGCAATGAAGGAGGAGGCTTCCTTTTTCATTGTTTTATAGGTTCTAATCCAAAACATGGAACTGGGTGTGGGTGCACCTCATGTTTAGTCACAGCTCATCCACCTGCCTTAAGCCATTAATACAAGATTTATTGGCTACTATTAGGTATTTCTTCATTCCCAGTTTGAAATAATTCCAATGCTGGTGTTCCATTGGGAGAAGGAAAGGAAAAGATAATCTGCAATCTAATAATCCTTCTCACCCCATCTCATTGCAGAAAAAAAATACTGTTTTTCTCTAGAAGTTCATTCCCTAAATTCAACACCTTGCACTACTTCAGTTTACTTTGCTAATGTATTGGCAAGCTTCAGATAACTGCACATAATTGCATCCTTTCCTTTTCTGCCTTTTTACAGGTATGCTCTCTGAGCCAAGTTACACAGGTGCAGTTTTTAATTCCTTGACTTGTGTGCCCCTTTAGCCACTAAACATCTTTTCTTGTCTTCTGAGTTCTCTCCTATTTGACATTCTTGCACTGAGCTGCTCAGAATTGTTTACATGGCCATGTGTTTTGATTTTTGGAAAAAGCATCACTTTGGAGCACTTGATATTGTATGAGGTAGGATTGTATCTCTTTCTAATTTAATCACTGAAACCCCACAGAAAGTCATGTTTTCTTGCATTGTTCTGAAGTTCTCAGCTCTTCCAAGCTGTTATCTGTGGCATGAGCACCTTAGGACTTTTTGGAGGGGGCTGAGGAGGAGATGTCTAATTCTTTTTTCTTTTGCCCAAGGTTGCTACTGTCTTTGCCTCCCGTATTTTTCTTGGAGGCTGACCAATGGCACAGTGTAAATCCTTTTTGGGGGGAAGGCAGCTGGTGGCTCCAAGGAGACAGCTGCTTATTCTCCAGCGTGCTCCCATAGGCTGCCAGCAGATGTGTCTGATGAGGGAGCTGATCCCTTAGCCCATTGAGAATTGTCTTCCTTACGCCTGTAGGGATTCACTGTGTGGATCCCTCTTTGTGCCCAGGTGCAGATGGCTTCCCCTTCTCCCCTCTGATATTGCATGTGCCATATGCAGAGAATCATGTAAGAGATTAGTCTATTTCTCCCCCCCCCCCTTATCTCTTGTGCCTCCAATTAAGACAGTTTTGGTTTTTGGCCAACTTTCCTTCCCTGGATTGTCAGAAGATTTATGCATACTTTTCCTCTGGTTCAGGAATGCTCCTGTCTTCAGATCTGCTTTCCCTAAAACCTTAGTTTCCTTGTATTTCATTATCCATCAGCAGTGGCTGTGCAGAGGGTTAACCTGAAGTCCCTACAGATTAGTGCAGAGTGCTTTTGGAGCACACCTAAGGTTGCACAATATATTTTTATTTTTCATTTCTGTGGCCACATTGCATGTGTTTACTGCACACTTAAACGGCAGAAGGTGGAAGAAGTACAAATTGGTGGTCAAGCTAGAGCTTTATAATGTCATTTAGCCAGCAAACAAGAGGGCAGTGTCTTCTAAAAAGGGTGCTGTCATCAAAAACTATTTATTAAGAATATTCCAGATTGTCTGGTTTTAGTCATAAACATGTGATGATTTTTTTCAAAAATCTCAATGACTTATTTCTGTGAAAAGTTGATTAAAGGTTTAGGGGGAAACTGATGAGCCCCTATAATACTGTCATTATTTAGTCTTGTTTGCTGTTGGCTTTTTCCTCGGTTGGTTTTTTCCTTTTAAACTTGATTTAGTATTATATTACAGTTATATCTTGCTGTTGATTTTGATTTTGTTAGCAAGTTTTGTATCATCTTACAGAAATACAGGTAAGGTATTTCTTCCAGCTACCGACTGCATGCATTCAGCAGTTTTCCAACTCATTGTGACCTTATACTTTAGCTTCTACCTGATAAATCTTGGGTTGGATATCACTCTTCTCTCATGTTTGCTCTTTGGCAACCATGAAGTGTCATGGGCTTCAGGGGTGTTCACAAATGTAACACAGGTGTATTTTTTAAGTAATTCTGTAGATGTTGTACAACAGCAAACTAGCACTTTTTCTCCAGTGCTGCTGTGTAAACAGACCCCCAAAAGGATAAAAGCTCCTTAATTGCTCATGTCAGCCACAGCAGTCAAACATGTGAGCAGCAATTCTGTAAGAAAAAGCCATTTCATGTTGTCACTCTTCTCACACTTGATTTATACAAGGAGTTTTAAACTTAACAAATAGCTACACTAGTACTTCCTTCTCAGACTCACTCTGTTGTGCTTTCAAGAAATACTCCTCTGCCACCAGAAACAGATTTTTATCGGAAGGGTACTGTTAATATATATTGTGTTTTAAAAAATACAATTAAAATGCATGTACTTTTTGGAGATCTTGTCACCTTATTTTATACTGAAGGTGCTGTCTTGCCTCTTAAAAAGTCATCACGGAGCAAGCTGATGCTTCTGTCACAGAGGTCCTACTTGAAGATTGTTCTTGAGACCGCTTCTGACAAAAGCTCTTCTAGTCACTGGTTTCAATTTTCCGTGCCTCCAGAGGCCCCTGTGCATTCTGCTGCTCAGGCCTGCTTGTCAAGAAGATTTTTGTTCAGACGTTTCACATGCACACCCCCACGTCCGTGTGCACGCGCGTGTGCGCATGCCCGTGTGTGCACACAGCTGCGGGCAAAGAGCAGGAGAAGGGCTGTCCTGGCAGCAGAGAAGATGCTGGGTACCATAAGAACACAGCCTCTCCAGCCTGAAAACTGCAGTCTTACATGTGAAAGCTGAATCCTTAAGCTCTTGATTCACCTTAGGATGGAAATTCTTGCCAGCCCAGACCTGCACATTGAAACATACATGACTTCATTTTCAGACAGACTTTTTTTTCCCCCCCTGTCTCCTTAAGCTTGCCAAGTAAATGATTCCTCTGCTGATTCTGCAGTTTCCAAGTACAGTTTTTTGCTCTGTGCCATGTCTCTGGAAAATATCCAATGTGTCTAAATCATGTAATTAAACCCTAGAAGCTAAAGACTGAGAACTACTGGCTCTTTGTAAGATATTTCTGTTTTAGCATATGATGTTTCTCCAAGTTACTGTAAAGCTTTCAAAGCTCCCTAAATGACCTGATCTCTCTCCCACTTACTGCAAAACACTCACATGATATGAATCTGTTTGGCCCAGCTGACCACTTCAGAGGCAGTGTGTAGGATACTGACGCCTGTGTGGAAGCCTTTAGCATCAGGCTTACCACAGGCTCTCTCAGATCCTGGGGATGTCTGCAAATGGAAGCATGGTTCCTTGGCAGAACTCTCTTATCTTCTTAACTGTTCTCTAAGAAGAGAGTGGGATGTCACAAGAGGGACAACATTACAGATCCTTCTGGGCTGGTTTTGAATAATTTCAATTTGGAAATTCAAAGTGAGCTGTTTATAAGACTGTTTGAATTTCCAAGTGTTAGGTTTCACTCACAGCTAGGATCAATTTCATTCCAGTATGCAGAATCTGGAATGCTTTCTGCACCAGGAAGATGTTTGAAATTACTCCTTCTTGGGTTTGAGCCAGGAAGAAGCTGCTGGAAGCACAGCTGGATTGGGATGCATGCCTGTAGTTGTCTCCCAGATGGTCCCTTCCCTTCCTAATGTCAGTAGGCTTTCAGCTGGTGCCAGCAGCAAGGGGGATGGAAATACGTACTGACATTTTCACTTTTCAGTGAATTTGCTAATCCCGTTTGGTGCATGTGTTGTCCATAAAGGGGCTACCATATCAGCAGTTAGCACTGCCATCACTATGGTGTCAGGAATGGAATAGTGCTGTGAGGAATGTTTGTTTCATTGCTAGTGCTGAGAGGATCTTAGTGGTCTTCTCCTCTTCCAGTATCTAACCACGTCAGAAGTACATAAAGATGTTTTCATTTGATGTGAGAACAAATTCTGGTGACTTGAGTGCAAATCAGCAGTCTGTTAAAATCTAGGGGATAGGTAGAGGCTTTGACAGAGGGAATTTTCTTACTTTGCATGTGCCTTGTTCTGCTGGGACATGTATGTGGAGTCAGATGCTGAAGAGTAATTAGTCTTCATTTTG